ATGTTTGCTGTGTGCATCTTACAGCAGCCTCTGATCATTAGTTCAAAATATCAGCTTTTAGCTCCACCTAGTGGTAGCATGTTAAAACTGCTGCACAGCTCCCTGAAGTGGGAAATCCTCAGTTAAATGATTTATCTCATCTTTAACTTAATATAAATAGTGAATAATGTGAATGACGCATACAGAGCCCTGCCTTTGGTTCAAGCAGACTTACTCCACGATTCTGTGACCATCGTTACCCCCAAAGTCGATGTCTTTGCCTAAAAACATGTAAAATGTTGTTTCCTGGTTAAAGCAGTCACAGGACATCCCTCCGTACAGGAAGCTAAAATAGACTGATTGCCCCCTATTGGCTGTTAGTACAGGCCGACAGCTTCACCCTTCTGTACTACACCTTAAAATAATATAAACTCATCAATGACACTAATAAAAATGTGATTATCTGACCAGTTTTTGATGTGATGCTTTATAAACAGTGTGTTTCGTTATGGCTGACAGCTGCAGAGGCCCCTGTTTAGATTACAGTAACTGTTCTGCATCCTTAAAGCTAACCTGCCTGTTCCAACAACAAACTTAAGTAGTGCAGCTGCACTCAGAGCCTGGAGACCCAGGCTGGTAAAATCAGTTCCCTCGTTTCCTATAAGCTAAACAAGCAAAAGTAGTTTGGGGTTTTTTGGACTGCCTTCATGTTCCTGCAGCTGGAGGATTGGTACCTTCTGTATTTAATTCCATAACAGAATCTGAGGCCATGGTCCTCAGTAGGAAAAGGGTGGAGTGCCCACTCCAGGTCACCCCACCCACAGTGGGCTGATCTCTTAGATGGACATTAACACCCCCCACACCTCGTCAGGTTTTCCAACTGCTTCGTCTTGGACGATCATCTTGGATGTTGCAGGAAACAGCAGGATGTTTCATCCCGGGGATGGAGGTGCCATGTTTCTGCTGATGTTCTAAATGAGCTCATCTGCACAGCATAGTGGAAGCATGTGCTAGGATCATTGTAGTCTCCCCTTCATGCTACCATTGCTATACTGCTATTGTAATCATTTATTTAAACAGCATTATCTCTGGTGGACACGATAAAGGCTTCATTACGAGCCACGAGGGTTTTGTGTTGCTTTTTTAAACTAAGAGGGAAAGTCCCCACTGAGACTCCTTTAAGCCATTCTCGCTTGAGAAAATGTAGCTGAGGGAGAGGAGCTGGGTACAAAGGAAGAATGGAACCGAGGGGTGGGAGAACGCTTCAGCGGTCCGGCAAACGCTTCCTCCAATAAAACTGGGAGACCTTCAAAATAACCTCCCGCAGAAGAGACACAGAGACATCGACTGTCACACTGGCATAAGGCCAAGGAAGTGAAAAGCTGCCCACCCACCAAACCCCACCCTCACCTCCACACAAACCTCTGCACATGATGACACATCTGCCCTTCCTCACTCGTATCACTGCCTGCAGCTGTGAAGGCAGGCTGCTTGGGGAAAACACACTTCCTTCACTTCTACACATGAGCAAGTGCAGCTGACTGATTTCATCCTAAATTGTAAACAAAATAAATATTAATTCATTTAAAAAAGTGTTCTTTGAGTTTCCTTGGCATATTGTTTACAAACAAGCACAGCGGGTTTATCACTGAACACAGTAGTAGCTCGATCTGTATGTTTACAAACGCTTTGTAAGTAACCAAGTTCAAGCAGCCACATATAGACTCATTAGACTTTGGCTCAGTGACGTGAATCCGTTGAGATGAAGCCTTGCAGATAAAGAAGATATCCGACCTTGAGGACTGCAGTGCTAATAGGACC